GTTATCAATGATTTCATCTTGCTTGCTACCGGTGCTGACACTAATTGGTACCAGTACTAGAAATCAAGAAATCAAAAGATGTCTTATACTGGGAAAGTCTGCTGTCAGAGACTTCTCCAAAATATTAAAGAGCAATGATGTCAGCTTAAAGACTCAGGTATGCCTGGTTCAAACCACGGTCTTTTCAGTCACCTGCTGTTCATCTAAGAGCTGGACAATGAATAAAAATGACAAAAGAAAATTGATACCTTTGAATTGTAGTATTGGAGAAGAATGCCGAGTGTCCCATGGACTGCTAAAAGAACAAACAGATATGTCTTGGAGAAAGTGCAACCATAGAGGCAAGTTTAGTGAAGCTTCATCTCACCTATCTTGGGCATGTTGTTATGAGAGGCTTTCCTTGGAAAAGGACATGCTTGGGGAGATGAAGGGTCAGTGAAAGAGAAAACAACCTTCAACGACATGGATGGACACACTGGTTGCAGCAGTGAGATTGGGGGCATATCTGTGATGATAACTAAGGATGGCACAGAACTAAGGACATGGTTCAGATCTGTTGTTCATAGAGTCGCTGTAAGTCATACTCAACTCGACAGCACTTAACAACAACTTACTATGGCTATTGTTATGTTAAAATGTATTGTAATTATTTATATAGTTTATAGAGTATATAACATTTTGGATTCTATTTTTTTTTTTTTCATCCTGGAACAGTAAAATGATGACTGTTGCCTGGTTGCTTCTTTTCTGACTTTGCCTCAAGTTTCAAAACTGAGAGCAATATATCATAAATAAGAGTTCTTTTTTAATTATCTTTTCAAACAAATGAGCAAAAAAACCTGTTTTCAAACAAATAAAATAAAACCTAAATCAAAATTTATGTACATGACTCATACCCCTGTAAGTCTATGATTTTTCTGTTAGAATCTCATTTTGTATTGATATATCAGCTCTTAAGTAATTTTAAAAGGTACTTTAAAAGATTTTTGTCTGTATTTGTTCCTCTCAAAATATTTGAACATAGTAAGAAATTTATCAACTGCTTATAATTTTTTTTTTTATTTTTTACTTTGTATAATACCTAATAGAATCCCACCAAAATAGATTTTGGGTTCTCATGATGATTTTTCTAGATATAATTACTTTAAAACAATGTGTCTTAGAAGCTTATATATTTTTTTTTAAAATTTAATTTTATTTTGTTGTTGTGTGCCATTGAGTCAGATTCGACTGGTACAGAAAGAGTTAGATTGCCCCTCCTTCTCCAGTGGAGCATCTGATGGATTTGAACTATGTGCCTTCATGATTATGGCGCAGCTTCTTGCTACTAGGCCACCAGAGCTCCAGAAGCTTATATTTAATATGAGTATGTGGTCCTCATTTATATTCCACAAAATAGTTTTAATAACAATATTGTAAAAACAAATTTTATTTCAATTGTTATTTTAACAAACATTACAGAAAAATTAGATTTCCATTCATTCATTGTTGCATTATCTTTTTTTTAATTTTAATTTTACTATTTTGTGTGTGTGTACCGTCAACTCGGATCTGATGAGTACAGGAGGAGATTGTCCCTCCTTCTCCAGCAGAGCATCTGGTGGATTCGAACTGCACGCCTCTGGGATTGCAGTGCAGCTTCTTGCCACTAGGTCACCAGAGCTCCCCCATTGTTGCATATCTCAACCCCCTGCCCACCCTTCCACCTACTCATTTCACTTTTTCAAGATTCATTGTTGCATAAATACTTCCCCCCTAGACCTCTTTACCATGATATATCTCTTACTCTGGGCTGTAAAAACAATTACTAACTTTAGTACCTTTGTAAAATTTTTCTATATATGAGTATACACATATTTATAAATGTGAGACAATACACTTTAACCTTTACTTATTAATATTTTCCTGTGTCAGTAATTTTTTTTTTACTTTTAGCATAAATAAGATCTCATCTGAGCATGAAATAATTTTTTCGCACCAGTTCTTATACTTTTTTGGTTGCTTTAAAATTTCACTTATATAAACACACTATTGGTATATCTAATAATTACTCTAGATTCTTACCACTGGGCCAATTGGCAGCATCATGATATATATGGTAAAGAGATTGAGATTGTTAACAGCTTTAGTTTGCTTGGCTCCACAATCAGCACTCTTGGCACCAGAAGCCAGGAAATTAAAAGACATATTACAATGGGAAAGTCTGCTGTTAGAGACCTCTTCAAAGTACTGAAGAGCAGTGATGTCACTCTCGAGACTAAGGTGCACCTGATACAGGCCACGGTCTTTGCAGTCACTTACTATGCATCAGAGAGCTGGACAATGACTAGGGATGGTAGAAGGAGAATTGATGCCTTTGAGCTGTGGAGTTGGAGAAGAGTGTTGAATATACCATGGACTGCTAAGAGAATGACCAGGTTCATCCTAAAGAGGGTAAAACCTGCTCCTTGGAGGCAAGGATTCGGAAGCTTTGTCTGACATATTCTGGAAATGTTGCAAGGAGGGACCAATCCTTGGAGAGGGAGGTCATGCTTGGCAGGTTGGGGGGACAGTGCAGGAGAGGAAGACCCTCGTGATCGGTTGATTCCGTGACTCGGGTAGTGGGGGTAGGTGTGTCAGAGACAGTGAGATTGGCACAGGATAGAGCTGGGTGGAGGGCTGTTGTACATAGCGTTGCTATGTGTTGCAGGCGACTTGATGGCACATAAAACAACAACATGCATACTTATTGTTTGGAATATTTTTGATGTTTCTTTGCTTGCTTTGCTTGTTGTGCTCTTAGATGACAAATAATAGAATTATTATAAAAAGAGCTATAAATTGTTAAATCAGTCATCTGAACTAGTTAACTAAGGTTGTGTGTATTTTTTTTTCTCTAAACAGGTTGGCAACATTGTACAAATCACCAAGCCAGAAGGAATCCACAATACTGTTTGAAATCACAGTCAGTATTATTTAATTAGAGTGGGATTTTTATATATTTGGACACTAATTATCTGAAAAGAGTATTTCCAAATTGTTTCTCTTGCCTACTGTAGGCACCAAACATATTTGAGAATAGTTTTTGATGATTAGAACATTATCCCCCAAATGATATTCAGAATACTCTAGTCACTGTTGAACTGAAGTATATTCTTTATTTTTTAAAATTTTATTCTTAAGATCTGAGGAAACACTTCTAGTTTAGTGTACTCCATGCCATATGTAATGTCAGAATATTACAGGTTTTAAATAAAATGGCTAAATATTTTCAGAAAAGCGATACCAACATTAGTGATTTTCGTTTGTAGATATTATCTTGGGCATCAAATATTTTCCTTTGGATTTACTATATGGAAATATATTTTTTAATTAAATTAGCATACTTTTCAATATTACTGAGCCAGGTTTATTTTTGGCATCTCACTTTTATAAAGACAGAAACAAGAATCTTTGAAGCCAGATTCTCCTCATAGTCTTTGCAGTGCCCAGGTATATTTGCAGCATCCTAGTTGGGAAACATTTTTTAAGAACATTTAATTGTATAAATAAATAGGTAAAGTGCCCAACTAATTAGCACATGTTATATCCTTTTACTTCTTCCATCATAGCCACCATATGGTTTGTTAACAGTTGTGCTCTAGACAGTGTTTTTATGATACAGTGTTACATTTGTGTGTGTGTGACATATAAATACACACCCCCCATACTGTTTTTGTATTCCATCAAGGTGGAACCTACCCATAGCTAACCCCCTAGTGGATTTTCAGAGGAGGTTAATTGCATGAGAGGAGATTGTCCATCCTTCTTCCATGAAGCAGCTGGTGGATTTGAACCATGTGCCTTTGGGATTGCAGTGCAGCTTTTTGTCATTAGACTACCAGAGATCCATCTAGATAGATAAATAGATACTTAGATAATAGTACATATAGATATGTAAGAATATTTCATTATATATATGAAATGTTATTCTTATGTATCTCTATGTAATATGATGTAATATAGCCCTAGTTTGAACATCTGTCAATAAAGTTTATCCTTTTCATTTACAGTGGTTGGTAACGTATATCTCAAGATCAAAGTAGATTTCTTATTTAAAATTCTTAGTTAAAAATATGTGGATGACCAGTCTTTATTTTAAATGTCTTTAAACTATATTTACCTTTATTTTTTTTTTATTGCAGTCTCAGGGATTTAGAGATGATCTTGTTGCTACTTCATCTTCATTATCAACGGAAACTTCTTTGAATTCCCGGAAAAGGTCACGAGAATCAGAGAA